CCCAGGTTTGTGCTCTTCCCTGTTAATACGATTGGGCTCTAGTTCGTAAATAATGATAATTGGGCCTACGTTACGTGCACTGATCACGTTTGGGAGAGATCGATCATCCACGCTGATCACGCACGATGACCATCGTCCATCCTCGCCTGTAGCCTCCTATTTTTTCGCCTGATCTCCTGGAAACCTAATCGCCCGCAGCCACTGGCCGCCGCCATGGAGCAGACACTAGATACCCACGCCACACCATGGCACATCGATGCCGCAGCTCCAGCCTACGCCATCCGCCGACGATTTCAGATAAGACGTCTTTTTCCTTAATGATGCCCTAGAACTGCTGCTTGACGTGGTGAGGCTTTTGTCGGCCGTAGTGTTGCACAGAACGACACAAGTATGAAAGCGAAGGTCCCCTTGATCATGGTCTTCAATCCTCAGAACCAGGCGTGGAAGCCTGTGAACAGTTTCAAGGATTTGTACAAGGATCAGTGGTACATTGCCGGGCTGCCACATCCAGGTACGTAAGATACCATGTAAACACTTGATGCAAGGAAAGTTTTGTAGCTTTCAGCTTTTTGCATCTTGGCTGTGTAAAACTGTTTGATGAAAGGTAGTGTTTGTATGCACTTGCAATGCGAAATTATATTCACTTTTTCATTCTGAAAAAATACCAACGAAATGTAAGACACAGCCCAATATATGACTATGTGGTCGATTCTGTTGGATTAATTAGGACTAGTTGGCGCACCATCAATAAAATAAGAACATGATAATGCTAATGTGATCAAACCTGATAAGCCAGTTAGTAAAAACTTCATTACTCTGTCTGGTGTTGTTAAAGGACTTCAGCAGTGTAAAGGAGCAGTGTAAAGGAAGGGATTGGTGCTTTATATATAAAGTGGGGCGAAAGCCTTTTTCGGTAATATGCAAACGAATGCACATGAAGTAATCGAACATTATTCTTCTATAGAAAATGATTATCATCCCTACATGATTTGTTAGTAGTATGGTGTAGAAGCAAAATCTTAAAGTTGCGCAAAGTATATGCTGAAAATAATTTTTGAAAGTACAAAGGGCCCCGGATTCTGGTTTCGCCCCGGGCCCCTAAAATCTCAGGACCGGCCCTGGGTCCATCGCGTCGACGTTACCTACTGGGAGATGTATGCATTTTGCAATATGGAGGTCAGGTGGCGTAGCCGCTGCGTCCGGCATGTGCGGGTCAGCGGCGGTGCTGTCAGCCTTGGCCGGCTGCGTGGAGGTGATGGTCGAAAGCCTTGCCAGTGCTTGCCGGCTGGCGGCGGCGGTGCCTGTGGGCGTCACCATCCTCCTTGGAGGTGCCATCGTGTTCATGTGCATCATCAACTTCCGGATCGAGCTCTTCAGGCTGGGCCGGGCAACGACGTTGTCGCTACGGCGTTTCTTCCTTTGGGGCGTTGCTTTAAAGACCAGTGATCCTTCACTATTCTTCCCTTGGGCTGGACATGCACGACATCACGGTTGGCAGGTGCCCAATCGGTGATGCGAGTGGTTGGCACTGCGACTCGTGTGACAACGATAACAGTGACTTGTAGAGGGTCAAGGCTTGTCCTTCAGATGTTGACGGTGCGGTTTATCAATAGGTGCGCCTATGTGTCGCGCCCCACGGCAACGATGACTCCATGAGGTTGGTTTTAGTGGGTGGTGCTCTTCGGAGGTTGCGCTGGACTAGGTCGGTGCGAGGCCTGCAACTTTCTCCTGCGATGCGCATTAGCAAAATCGGAGCTGCCAGTCCTCGACGTCTATGGTAAATTGTTTGGCCCTCACCGGCGAGGTTCTCAGGTGTCGTTTGTTTGAAGGGATCTTAATGGGTCTTTGGCGGCGAAGTCGGAGTCGCCTGTTCGGGGAGAGGTGACGATGATGACATGGCAGACAACCTCGCCGGTTTCCTTTTCTCGGCGGTGTGTATGGTCTTGTTGGTGCCAGATCAACCGGGTGCCCTTTCTTGTGGGCGTGTTGTAATGGTTTTGCCCGTGTTTCCATTATTTACTGTGCAACTCTATTCTACTCCATCTCTCCCATAATATAAGAACGTTTTTGATATTAACATAGTTTCAAAAACATTCTTATATTATGAGACGGAGGAAGTATCTTTTTTTAATAGTTTTGCTAGAACTCATCTAGACGAGGTATAATTTGGTCTCATTCACCTTTTATAGTCATTGGATGTGATGCTATAACATGCGTGTCTGCTGGCGTGGGTTGTATCTGTTTTTGTTTTTAAAGTGAATGAGACCAAATTATATCTCATCTAGATGAGTTTTAGGTACTCCTTCTTTTAATGAATAGGGCCCTAAGGGACCGCGTTCCAGAAAAATAAAAATGGAGGTGCACTACACGTTAGAACCCTATAGTGAACTTTATTCTACAATTCAGACTGTAGCTTCATATGTATCTCTGCATAGCGGAGCCACAATATATCTATGAAATTATGAAGATGACTGGATTTTGCATCATGATGTTAGATGTGTTCGGTAGAGAATCTACAATCCCTTGCATTTGCGGCAGTATTACATATTTGGTGTGATCCATACCTCTGAAGGAACATGCACCCTCCAACCTTTAGGGATCCCTTCAACGGGAAAAGCATTCTCAAAGATCCTTGTTTCCATGTCATGTGACCTTACAATTCCCCATCCATGACAACGGCCAACTAAATCAAATGTTTCTGTCATCCAGGGAGCTGAGAAATAGATACATTGAGGTCTTAACCCAGGGAATTTCTTTGAGGGTAAGCACGCCGAGTGATTCAGTCCAACAAATATCGCATGGTCCATCAAGTCGTGGGGTGATATCTTCTTGCATCCTTCGGGATGAACCTTGCCAATTAGAAACCTAACACGATCCACACGGTTTGCAGAAATGGCCTGGACCTGCAAGAGATCACCCCATGGTGTAGACACCAAGTGCCTGGTAAGAACACATGAAAATGTTCTATGTGCGATAATCGCCTCCTTTGTCGGGCCGTTCGGTCCATCAAGATGATATTTCTCTACTATTCCAAGGTATGTCACGCTGTAGAACCTCCCATTGTGGTATGCACAGTCTGCATATCGATCATGTTCCTTTATAGATAAAGTTGAGGCCACTTGCCACTTGGTCTTTCCTGCCCTCGCAAAAGAGAGCCAATTGCTATCATAATGGATGATCATGGCAATGCAGTCACCATCTTTGGATGGAGCACAGGACAACACTGCCTTCTGGTAGAACCATGTTGCCAGATATCTTGCATCATAGAATCTATAGTTTAAAAGGCGATAACCTTCTATGTTTCCTTGTTCATCATATACAGCCTCCACAAACGAGAAATCGTTGATCGGCGGTAACGGGACCATGTCCGAGGTGATGGGGTTGAAGAGAAGTAGATTGGAGAGGTGGTTCACCAGGACCAACCATCCATGAGAAGCTCCAGCACATGCAACGAAACAATCCTTGGGAAAATCGACATCATAAGACTTGTTGACGTCTAGGAGATGGCGAAGCTTGCAGGTCATGGTCGAGCTGCAGTTGATCTTGGGTTGACTCTCCTCCTCCACGAGATGTGTCCAAGACATGAGCCACGTTCTGCAAGAAGATGGGACGCCGGCGGCAGCAGCAGCTCCGCGCCATGATGCGCAGACTGACGCGAAAGCGAGGGATTCCCGGAGCTGGAGGCGTTGGAGGATTATGAGGAGGAGATCCGTCGGGAGGTCCGACCAATTGGACATTGCGTAAGAGCCTGCCATTGTTGAACAAAATATTCTTCCTATTATGTGCTTGCCTGCAGGTTATGTATATATAGCAAGACAAACAAACGATCCGATACATATACTGGTCGGACTCGACAATGAATATGTTGTGATGAGTGGAATCTCTATCTTTATAATTATCTCTACTAGAAGAACGCCCGTGCGTTGCAACGGTGCCATATTAATTTTAAAAGTTCAATATCAATTATGTTAATATTACATTTAATATTCTCATACATATTAAGTGACATTGACGACCTTTTTTACCATCAAATTCTCACACACACACCCTCTCCCTCCCTCTTCCTCGCTCTCTCTCCCCCTCTCCCTCACTCGGGAGGTGGGACAAAAATAAACCCGGAACGAAGACTACCAACTGAGACATTAAGAGTAGAGATCATTTAGTTGATAAGAATAAATAGAAAAAGGTGTTAAAAAGGAGAAACATATTAGAATACATTGAAGAACCAAAATGACGATGTAAAAGGGGATTCGCCCTGCCCCCCGGGCCTTGCCACCGAACCGGCTCAGTGGTCCAGTCCCCGCGCGGTCGTCTTCTCCTGTTCCCCGAGCCGCGTCGCTACAGAGCCGGGCTCCCGCCCGACCACCTCGCTGGCATCAAAGGGGGATGGATAAGGGTGACGCCCTTCCTTCCCTGCCCCATGGCCTCACTCCTCCTCGACGTCCCCTCCCAAATCCACTTCTCCTCCTCGCTCACTCGATCCCGTCGATCTAGACGAAGTCAGACGCCACGGCCACCATGACCAACCCCGTCCACATGGCCACTGCCCTCCCTGCGGGCTATGAGCTTATCGAGCAGCTCCGAACGCCTTCGCTACTTCGTTGTGCCAACGAGATCAAGTCCAGCACCCCCGCATCGACGTCACTGCCGTCTTCCTCAACCTTGGGCCACTACGACATTGCCGTTTGATCCGCGCCGCCCCGAGCTCCCATGTCTTCCCCTAGGGCACCATTGACACCGCCATGATCTCCTCTTGCCTTTCCCCTGTTTCCCCTCTCGTTTGCTCTCGTTAGGTATTTCGCCGTGGCCGAGAACCGCCGTCCGCCATGGCCATTGCAGGGGTAGCCATCGAGCTCCTCGGAGTGACCCCGTGGCACATGCCCGCTCCTATGCACGCCCATGCCCGAGCTTGGCGCTCTTCTTTCGCGCCCGCGGGGCCACTCCCTCTCCATGCCCACGCCGTGCTACACGGCGTCGGTCGCGCCCGCCGCTGCCGTCGTGCTCGCCGCAGCCACCGCACCATTGTGCCCCCGCATGACACACACCCTGGCCGCGCGCCACACTCTCGCTGGCTGCGCTCGCCCCGTCTGCTGCCGCCTATCCTTCGCTTGCCCCGCTGTCGCGCCCCTGCCTCGCGCCGCCTCCAGTCGTGGCCATCTTCTGCCGGCCGCCCCCTCAGCCACGCCGGCCGCATCTCTGCCCTCCACCGTCGGCCGCTCACCTCGCCTGCTACGTGTTGCTTCCTGTTACTATGCGCTGCTCTACCGCTGGTACGCTACTGCGCCATGCCCTCGACACCGCCGTGGACAAATGTGACGGAGGGATTGTTAATGGAGTACGAGAAGGAGGTGGCGGAGAAGGTGTGGAGAGGCAGGAGGTCTGGGGCGGTGTCACCTGGCTGTGGTGGAGGTGTTTATGCGAGAAGGAGCCGGAGTGGAAGGAGAGGTCACAATTGGAAAGAATCGCAAAAAAAAATCATAACCCGGAGATCTCAGTTCAGAAAAATGCTAATATCGATGGAGGGGTGATTTCTTTCAATGGGTGGAAAACATAGGAAATATTGGTTGTTATCAAGGAAAGGTAAAAATTTAGGAAAGTTAGAATTTTTGAACTAATTTCTATGCAAATGGGGTTTTATTGTTTGGTAACGTGATATCAGAACCTGCCCGTTTGTGACGTGTCTGATTAGGAAAGTTTGCAAATGTTAAGAAACTATTTATTGGAAGGAAAGTTGTGACGTGTCTGTTATTTGTTTCCTAAGACAAATTGAACCAATAAAAGAAATCATTGATTTGCATAATTTAAGGAAGTTAGATTAAAATGTATTATTTGTTTCCTAAAAATCTGTTATTTGTTTCCTAAGACAAATTGAAAGGAATCGATTGATTTGCATAATTTAAGAAAGTTAGATTACAATGTATTATTTGTTTTCCTGAAAATCTGTTATTTGTTTCCTAAGACAAATTGAACCAATAAAATTTAAGGAAGTTAGATCCTTGATTTGTTATACGTTAGGAAAGTTCTGGTTGTAATAAAGAGTGGAGAGAAAAATAAACCGATGGACCAGAGTGGGAGGGGGTGGTGGGAGGATAGACGAAAAAAACTAGTGAAAATAAACAGCGGACTAGGGTGGGAGAGGGTGGTGGGAGGAGAGACGAAAAAAATAGCGAAAATAAACCGCGGAGACGATTCAGCAACTCGTCCATTAGGAGTATATATATATATATATATATATATATATATATATATATATATATATATATATACATACTTTATATTTTTACTTATAAAAACGGAAATGTTAACGCCCACACGTGTGGGCGTTAGCCAACTCACCCACACGCCTCCATCACCGTCCAGTAACTTCTGCACGAATCTTGGCACGAATTAGCTGATTTTGTATGCCATGTAGGACAACTCGCGTATGTGGTGTGTGAGAGAGGTCGCCCACACATCCGTTTTACCACACGGAGGGGCCGGTGTGTGGGCGTTTAGCAGTTCGCCCACACACCAGTTTCAGTCACGCACAAGGGCTGGTGTGTGGGCAGTTTGCCATCTCGCCCACACGGCCGCCTCCTCTCCCACACCCAAACTGCCAGTTGCCATGCATTTTGCAGTGTACATGGCAACTGCCCTAGTGTGATTGCAAGCAGATGGCAACTCTCTTTTTTTTACCCGGACATGTCAGTTGCGATATGTTTGGCATGGTACATGGCAAACTGCCCTAGCGTGCACGTAAGCAGATGACAACTCTTTTTTTTTTAAATGGCAACTGCCCTAACGTGCTTGTGAGCACATGGCAACTCTCTCTTTTACCCGAACATGTTTTTTTCCATGCCTTTTTTTGTAGCGCTGCATGGCAACTGCCTAGTGTTACTAGGTGGCAACTCCTAAAGTTTTGAAATCATGGCAACTGCAGTAAACCAGACCACACATGGCAACAGCTGTAGTTGTCCAAAAAATGGCAATCTGGAACTTTGACCTGAGATGGCAACTGCAGTTGAGCAAACATGGCAACTATAGTTGTCCGACATGGCAACTGCACTTAAACGAACATGGCCGAGGGTCCGACCCATGGCAACTGCGGGGCGCGCGGTAAAGTGTCACGTGGGGCGTGCGGGACCACGAGGTACGAGGCCTGACGTACCGGGCGTGAGTGCGTTATCTATTTTGCCCACACGCACGCGTGTAAGAGGGACCGGGAGGGAAAAAAAGAGACATGTGGGTGCTAGTTGTTTTGCCCACACACAGACGTGTGGGCTGGTCCTCTTAGGCACCACACAGAACGTGTGGGCAAATTCCTTAACGCCCACACGTGTGGCAGTTAGCGGTGTCCTATAAAAAAGAATGAACGCCGATAAGTGCCACACGTGTGGGCGTTAGGAAGTCCGCCCACACATTTTGTGTGGTGTATAAGAGGAACAGCCCACACACCTACATGGGCAAAACAAGTAATGCCCCCACACCTCTTTTTTTCCCTCCCGATCCCTCTCACACGCGTGCGTGTGGGCGAAGTTGATAACGCCCACATGCCCGTTTGTCAGGCCTCGTACCTCCTGGTCCCGCATGCCACGCGTGACAGTCACCGCGCGCCCGCAGTTGCCATGGTCCGGACCCTCGTCCATGTTCGTTTAACTGCAGTTGCCATGTCGCTGAACTACGGTTGTCATGTCGGACAACTGCAGTTGCCATGTATGGTCTGGTCTAATGTAGTTGCCATGATTTCAAAATTTTAGGAGTTGCCACATACTAACACTAGGCAGTTGAGAGTGTTGCCATGTGCTCACAAGCATGCTAGGGTAGTTGCCATGTAAAAGGAAAAGTTGCCATCTGCTTACGTGCACGTTAGGGCAGTTGCCATATACATGCATGTTAGAGCAGTTGCCATGTACCATGCAAAAACACATGACAACTCGGTAAAAGAGAGTTGCCATCTGCTTACGTGCACACTAGGCAGTTGCCGTGTACCTTGCAAAACACATGGCAACTCGGGTAAAAAGAGAGTTGCCACCTTCTTATAAAGCACACTAGGGGCAGTTGCCATGTGCACTGCAAAACACATGGCAACCTTCCATTTTCTTGGGTACAGTGCTGGTTGCCTGCATTAGCCCAAGCGGCACATGAACACGGTGTTTGGTTGCCCGCAAGGGGTATGATTAAGAGCTAGCACTTGCACTTAGCACACAGGATTAAGAGCTAGCAGAGGGAGGGGGGAAGAAATGCAGTGTGCGCCGGACCATGGCGACTGCGGTGGATAGTGGCTGTGGCGCCGTGTCCGACATGACGAGCATGGAGTCGTCGACTAGCGACCCCGTCGGCGGCACGGCGAGCGACACCGTCGATGAACTAGTTGCGGTGCTCGCGCAAAGACAGTCGACAGAGGAGGAGAATGCAGTGCTCGCGCCATGGTTCGTCAGTGCAGTGAACGAGAGACGATGCCGAGATGATCGATGCCGGAAATGACTCCAGTGTAGTAGGGCGAGAGAGAGGAGGCCAAGAAGATCGACCCCGTCGGCGGCGCGGCGAACTGCAGTGTGCACGGAGGCAGAGGACACGAGAAAAAAGTGTGCACGCCATTGCAGCG